ACGCACACGCACACGCACACGACACGCACAGCACACGGCACACGCACACGCACACGCACAACGCACACGCACACGCACACGCACACGCCACGCACACGCACACGCACACGCACACGCACACGCACACGCACACGCACACACACACACACACACACACACACACGCGCACGCGCATGCGCACGCGAACGCGCACGCGCACGCGCACGCGCACGCGCGCGCGCGCACGCGCACGCGCAAGCGCACGCGCACGCACACGCACACGCACACGCACACGCGCACGCGCACGCGCACGCACACGCACACGCACACGCACACGCACACGCACACGCACACGCACACGCACACGCGCACGCGCTCGCGCACGCGCACGCGCACGCGCACACCCACACCCACACACACACACGCTTTTGCGTCGGCGGCTGGGCAGAGGGCGACCTCTCTGGCGGAGAGGCAGCAGGGGACCCGCTGCACGTTTTGCAAATTGCGGCCGCGATACACGGAAGGAGGAGGAGGAGCCCCAGCGCGACAGGAAGCGAGGAGACCGCGCCATTCAGAGCTCCCAACTGCGGCGGGATGTGCAGCGAGGGGGGGGGAGGGCGTCGGGGCAGAGCTCGGGCTGCGCTGAGCTGAAGCTGGGGGGGGGGGGGCGGCATGGGCAGCTGGCGGCGGGGAACGCAACAAAGCAGACCCCGACCCAGTGGACCGAGCAAGTCCAGGGATGGGTCAGCGCGCCGAAGCCCGCGGGCTTACGAGGCGCGCGCGAAGAGGCGGAAGGCGGAGAGGCGCGACTGGGCAGCCCCAGCGGCGGGGGCCGCCCCGCAAGCGGGCACCGGCGCCGGTGTTGGGCAGCACTGAGCTGAACAGGGCTGAGGCTGGTGCTGAGCTGCGCTGGACAGTATATCCTTCAGATCCACATGGGGGTGGCGGAGACGGGGGGGGCGATCAAACCGCCGCTGAGTGAGCCAAGGGGTGTTCAAAACACAACCAAACACGCTCAAAACACAACCAAACGCACGCGGCTGCACAACAATGCGCAACGTCCATGGATGCCGCTATGGAGGAGGGCCGCCACGCGAGACCACTTCGACGCAGCGGGTCTGTAGAATGGGCGCTTTGCAACAATATTTCGGCGCAATCACACAACAGCGTAACAGATATAACGACGCAGAGGTTTCGCACATTTACACGAGCGAACCGCCGCCAGAAGCCTGATCGGACCCCTTGGCGGTATCCCCAAGTCCACTGCGCCTGCAAGCATAAACCAGTTGCAAAATGACGACAGCAACGCATCGTTCCTGCAACGCACAACGTACCACAGATCCGGATCATCATTATTTCGGCATGTGCATCTGTATTTGCACATGCACATGTGCATATGTTTGTGCGTTTGCACTTTGCAAGCCCCCCGGAGGACGAGCCCCCCGAGGCATCCAAAGGCTTCCAGACATCCCCGACGACCCCCGAAGAGCCCAAGCAGACACCAGGGACCACAAAGGGTCTCCGAGGGCTGCCATGGACCTCCGAGGATCGCAAGGGGGATTCCCGGAGACCACCGAAAGCCGCCAGAGGCAGCCGAAGCCCCCCGAAACCCACCGGCCCCCAAGACGATCACCAGGACCGCGAGCCCTGGCGGCTTCCAAGGGTCCCGAGGACCCTGGAAAGGCTCGGGGCTTCCGAGAGCCTCCAGGGGCGGCCGACAACCTGCAGAGGCTTCGGACATACGCCGAAGACCTCGCATGACTGCCAAGGACTCCAGGGACGGCCCTAGGAGGAGCGCTGGAGGCCTCCGACGGGGCCGCGCCGAAGGGCTTCCCACCGGCGCTTCGGGGAGCCCGCCCTCCCCCGAGCAGCGGGCCCAGGGGGCAAGAGGAGCGGGCGCCGGCCGACCGCCGCCGCGACGACGACGACGACGAGGGGGAGGGGGGAGGAGAGGGACGGAGGGAGGGAAGGGGGGGGGCAGGAAGGGAAGGGGAGGGAAGGGGGGAGTGATGTAGGGAGGGATGGAGAGTCAAGGCGGGGAGGGAGAGGATGGAGTCAAGGCAGGGAGGGAGAGGGTGGACGGGGACCCTATCCTCGATTACCTCGAGAGGCAAGGAAGCGGGTCGGGGAGCCGAGGGCATTCCCAGGGCGCGAAAAGGTCTTTTGAGAGAGCAACGGCCCATCAAGATGCTGTTGTGTAGTAGCGCTTTCTCATGGTAAGCTATATTGAGAGGAATTGAGAATATTTGAGAGATTTTGAGAGGAATTGAGAGAAATTGAGAGAAATTGAGAGATAATATCCCGGGGACGACCCAAATTGAGAGAAATTGAGACAGAAAGGTTCGCTTGGTGAGAAACTTTGAGACAAATTGAGACAACTAGTGCCGTCTGGTTCAGGACAATTGAGACCGCGTAGCCTGACTTGGCGAAGGCAGCTGAGCGTGTTCGATGGCAAACCGCATCGGAGATCCTCACGGGACCGCGGCCGCGCAGTGGCACCCGTACGCCATCCTCGCTTCTATTCCCTCCTCCTCTTCCCTCCTCCGCTGTCCACTCCTTCCTCCTCGCCCCCCATCCTTCCCCCCCCTCCCTCCCCCCCCCCGCCCCCTCCTCCTCCCCCCTCCTCCTCGCTCCTCCTGCCTCCCCCCGCCCCCTGGGCAACGACGACAGCAGTAAGAGGCGATGCGCTTCGAACGCGAGGTGCAGCGATGGCCCTGGCCTGCCCAGGTAGGGGCTTGGGGGGGCAACGGGGCGGGGGGGGGCGCGCGAGGGGCCTCGGACAGGGGGCCAAAGTACTCTCGCGAAAGGGCCCGCTAGCATGCACCCGTCCCGCACCAGTCGCGAACACCAGAAACGTGAAGATAGCGGGGGCGGTGTCTAAACGAGCAACAAGGTCAAACCATGCGTCCCCGCGTTGTTGTCTCATTACATCGCGTGCCATTCTAGCTACGAGGATTCAGACGCGGCCTTGCTCAGAGAACGCGTCGTCTAGAGTACGATGGGCCTTGACATGGGATCGAGAAATCCGGGGCCCCGGCGCGACGTGGCCCCGCGCCCCCCAGTAGTGGCTGAAGAAGGTGGCGCCCTTCAAGATTTAGGCGCGCTGCGCGACTCCTCGGAAATGAGCCATGCAATCCACTGCCAATTCTAAGGATCATTCGAGAGCGCGACCTTAATGGCGCATCACTTCGCGCGAGGACAAGGGCCATGCCAGACGACCGCTCCGGAACGCTAATGCGCGCGCGCCCCAAACCTGTTCGCTTCGCCCGAGCACGAAGCCGGCCGTCACGAAGCCCGCCCAATCACCAAACTGCAACATGGGCACCGCGACGGTGAAAAACTCGCGCGCAATGGGCACCCTCCGAGGAAGATAAAGATCATCTCGCGCCGGACGGCGCGCTCAACTTTCGCCCCCCCCGTCGACGCCACCCCCGCGTGGATCTGCATGAGTATAGCTGAGGATGGAAAGCCAAAGTGGCAGAGCCCAACCCAGTGAACCAACGCGCGGTCCAAGGATGAGCCGATGCTGCGGGCCTGCGAGGCGCGGGCAGGGGGGCGGATGACATGCGATGGCGCCGCGCAGCGCTGAGCGGCACAGAGCAGCACGGGAGCGGCCCGCGGAAGGACGGCGGTAGGGGGAGCAGGACGAGCGCCCAGAGCATCGAGTCTCGACCCGTGCCGACGGGGGAGCACCCCGAAAGCAGCGACGTTGGGGGGCGCCGAAACCAGGAGGACCAACGAGTCGCAGGCGCGGAAGAGCGAAACGGCCTGGCGATGGGCAACGGCGGGGCAGCCAGGGCAAGAGGGAGCAGGGCCGCGCCAAGTGGGGGGGGCGGCGGGCCCAGGGGGCAAGCAGGACGGCAGCCGGCGCCGCGGCGTGCCTGGCCAGCGGCGAGGCGAGAAGGCACGGAGCAAACGCCCGACGCTCGCCACGTGGCCTGCGCCCCCCACCATCTGCTTGATGTTCTGGCCACCTCCCCCGCGCCGGCTACCAGTGTCTGGCCGCCGTTGCGCCCGTGGCACCTCGCCGCTATCGGTTGCTGCCCAGTTCGTCCGTTCCCTCGGGGCCCACCTTGTTCGCCCCACTTGGCCCGCCGCTCCCCTTCTGGGCGTGGCCTTCCGGCGTTTCCGCTTCTGGCTGGCGTTCGCCGCCTCGGCCCCTCCTCATGCTGCGCCCCGGCCGGCGAGGGCCGGCGGGGCGCCGCAAGCAGCGCCCGGGCAAGCCCGCAGCAGGCCGGCGCTCCAAGAGGCGGGGGGCGGCGGCGGGGCAGGGCGCTCCAGGGCAGGCGGGGGGGGCGGCCCGGTGGTCACGAGCAGGCGGCGAAACCAGCCCGCTGCGACAGGGCCCGCTCAGAGGGCGGCGGCGGCGAGAACCGGCCAAGCGCTGGCAGCCAGCGACGCCCTGCGCGCGGGCGTGAGAGCGCCGCCCGGCGCGGAACCGACGTCGGCGGCTGCAGGAGGAGGCGAGCCCCGAGCGAGAGCTGGAGGCCTGCGGAGGGGGGGGGGGGGGGGGGGGCGCAACAGGCGCGCGATGAGTAACGGCCGCAAGGGCGGGGGGGGAGGGCGGCGGGCAGGCCCCGAGCGAGGGCTGGGGGGCGGGGGGGCGCCGAGTAGGCGCGCGATGCGGGTGTCCACAGAAGGCAAGGAGGGGCGGGCAACGGCCAGGATGGCC